TATCTATCTATCTATCTATCTATCTATCTATCTATCTATCTATCTATCTATATTACGATATCTATCTATCTATCTATCTATCTATCATCTATCTATCTATCTTACCCTCTCTATATATATCTTGTCTATTTATCTATCCATCCATCCATCCATCCATCCAATCTAATCTCTATCCATCCATCCATCCATCTGTATCATTTCTTACTATCTATCTATCTATCTATCTATCTTACCCCCCTCTCTATATCTTACCATCTACCTATCTATCCATCCATCTAATCTATCTCACTCTCTCTCTCTCTCTCTCTCTCTCTCTCTCTCTCTCTCTCACTATTTATCTAATATACTGCTTTTATTATTCTTATAAAGTGGCATCTAATATATCTTCCTATTTTCCCTACAACACTTTGAAGTAGGCTGAGCTAAGAGAAGGCCCGAGGTTACCCAGCTGGCTTTTATGTCTAAAGTGGAACTAGAACTCCCCGTCTCCTGGGGACTGGCCCAAAGCCACCCAGTCAGCTTTCATGCCTAAGGTGGGACTAGAACTCTCCGTCTCCTGGTTCCTAACCTGGTGCCTTGACCACACTCCCTTCGGCCAACTTTTCCGAATGTTCGCCGTCTCCCCGCAGGCCACAGGAGCAAGTAGGCGCCCGGGAGGGGACAGCCCACCACCTACGCCCCTGAGCTGAGGGCTGCTCTTCCACCCTGCAAGGGTCCCCTCCTAGCCCACCTCCAGACCACCCACCTTTTTCAGGGCCATCACCTGAACGGCGCAGAGTTCACTGAGGCACGCCGAGATCTTCTCCAGGGGCAGCCTGGCCAGCACCAACGCCGTCCCTGCGCAGCGAGAGGGAGGACAGGAGTCCGTCAAGCGGGCCAGGGTATCAGGATGATGGGCTTGGCAGGAGCCCAGCCTTCCACCCGAGGCTCTCAGCCCCCCCTCCCCAGGGGGGGCTCCAGGAGGAGGAGGAGGAGGAGGAGGAGGAGGCCCTACCTTTCAGGAGTCCGACCGCCGCTTCCGGGGAGAGCATGAAGGAGTCCAGGGAGCGGGCGATTTCCAGCAGGCCCGTGAAGTGCTGGGCCATGTGGTCCCGGCAGACGGAGCAGATGTTGTGGATGGCTTTGGCGGCCACGGAGGCCAGGGCCTTCTCACACAAGCCCTTCATCAGGTAGCCCAGGACCGGGTCTGGGGGCGGAGGAGGGAGGGGGAGAGGAGGAGCTGGATGGGAGCGCTGGAAGAGGCTTCTTTGGCACAAGCCTCTTTTGCACTGGGATCGTCTCCAGCCACCCTTCCTTCCTTCCTTCCACTCACCTATCTCTATCTTCCATCCATCCATCTTTTCTTCCTTCCTTTTTGCATCCATCCATCTGTCCTTCCTTCCTTCTATCCATCCTTTCTTCTATTCTTCCATTCATCCATCCATCTGTCCTTCCATCCATCCATCCATCCTTCCATTCATCCATCCATCCATCATCCATCCATACTTCATACTTCCTCCCTATCCTTCCTTCCACTTACCTATCCATCTTCCTTCCTTCCTTCCTTCCTTCCATTCTTGCATCCATCCATCTTTCGTTCCTTCCATCTTTCCATCCATCCTTTCTTCCTTCTATTCTTCCATCCATCATCCATCCATCCCATGCTTCCTTCCTCCCTATCCTTCCTTCCACTCACCTATCCATCTTCTTTCCTTCCTTCCGTCCATCCATCCTTTCTTCCTTCTATTCTTCCATCCATCATCCATCCCATGCTTCCTT